TAGAAGAGGTTGTAAATTTTGAATTAGTTTAATGTTAAGAACATAAAAACATGATTATAACCCTAATTCGTTGTGTGGTTTTTATTTTCAAATGTTCGTCAAGATTAGTATCATGAAATTTAATAAAATAAAAAAGCAAAATGTTCAGGGATGGGCTTTGACAACCCTAATAACGTTTGGGATACGGGATTAATATTACTTTAGGAGCCCTCATTGTCATTGTTGTCCAATAGCTGGTATCTATCGGTTCCGATCATAATTCAAAATCATTAACAATTTTTTTTAAATTCTAATTTACTATATAATATATCATTATAATCATAAATTCAGCTCATCACAAGTGTACTGCTGAACGTAGGCTCTCCAAGGAATGTCATAAAGCTCGATCCTGAGACACCTGCATCTACTGTGTTCCTCGTTTCTTATCAGAAACTTTTTTCAGCAACGTTTGTCGGTCCTTGGCGATACGACCCATCGCGACTTCAGCTTACTGATCTGTTAGCCTATGTCGGTTACTCTGGTTCTAATGCGAACATCCTTATTACGAATTCTATCACCATATTCATAGCCTGCTGAGCGACCTTGAGCTTCCTTATACGGTCAGCAGTGAAGTGAAGTCTCAGGTCCATCCACAGGTAGATACTGCTCTACTGTCAACACGTAGATACTGCTTGTACACTCCTGTTTTCAAGCTTTGATTTATACTTGACGAGATGTGTCATAATCTACCAAATTTCTTCTATTGCGTTATATTACATACTGTAATTAAATTAGAAATTAGGTGATAATTGGTTTACCATTGTTCCGTAACACGTTATGAGATTGATCGCATGAAGTTAGTCAATAATGAGGTTTGGTTGCCATTATAAAACGTCAAATATCCAGATCGATGACGAAGTCAATGTCAATGTTTGTGGGTTAGTATCCAATGTAGATTGTGTGTTTGAATTTGCATTCGAAGAGATCGGTTTCGAGCTGAAACTATTTATAGTTTTATAATAAACATTATCAGCGTAATAAATTTAAGAACAAAATATGATGAGAATATGATATAATTATTCCTCGAGTATTTATAATAGCGTGCTTTTAAATACTCTAAGTTATTCCTATATTGCGTAACACTTCTAATTCAATAAGCGAAATTAAGTTCAGTGACTCGTGGTAATAGAAAAGTTTGAAACTGAATTATAGAGAGTAATAACAAACAAACAAATAACAATTATATGCCCGTAGCAAAGTAGCCTAAAATACAGAATTATTTCTTATATTTACGCGAACATTTCATCATTATATAAAATTAGTTTTTACGGATTTTGTCACGTATCTTAACTTATTTTATATTCTCGATGTTTCTAGCACTTTACAGCATTCATGGTCAAGGGGGGACTTCGAACACTTCACCACGGCTACCTCCAGATTAAAATTATTAATTTTTATTCCAATCTACGCAGTATGAACTTATAGTATCTTGAAGTCTTGCAGTTGGATGCTTGGGTTGGGATTTAATTTTATTAACTATAGGATCCCAAGCAGATGGTAGCACCTAACCATCTTCTCTATATTGAAATTAGGATGTTTTTCGATTTCAGTAGCATTGATTTACATATTACGCTAGACTAGTAATTACCGCGGCAAAGCGTTGCCACTGCACATATGGCCACAGCCATATGCCTAGCTATCGTCAGTTCAGTATTCAATGTGACGCCGACAGAGTTGAGCCGAACGATCCGCGACAAAAAATGGGTAAATGCGTAGTGAAAGAATGCGATTCAAGGTCACAAAAACATAATAAGTCAAGCGGAATGACTTTCCACACATAAATTTTAGTTCATGTTTTCATATTAAACGTAAAAACCTCAAATAATTAAATAAAATTATCGAATATTGCCATTTAAGTTTAATAATGCCACTTTTCCGCCTTTGTGATTATCCCTCATTAACGGGAGACTATAAATGGAGTATGTTAATTTGTTACCTCTGATTTTAAATATTTTGGAAATTATAATAAAAACTACGTTTAAACTTTCATACAAAATAATTAATTATTCTTATTTTAGTTTATCCATGAATGATCTATTAAATATATTTTATTACCTATTTTATATTGTTTGATTAATTAGTACAATAAAAATACTTTAATAAAATATATTTTATTTCATCAGTTATGCTAAATTCTATTCACCTGATAAGAAAATACACTTTTTTTAAATAAACATAATTTACTGCAGCTTAAAAAAACTCCTTTTTATTGCGTATTTTGGGTTAAATTTCATATAGCAAGCCACACCAACCCGCCGTTTCATGTTTGGTGTGTATATCTTTATCTAATCTTAGCGACGGTATTGTTTTCGCAACTTGTGTAAGTGAGACAGTTATATGTTTATTTAAAATGTTTAGTAATTTCAAAGCTACGTCGTCGCGGTTGGATAGTGGTTACACTTTTTTCGACGTGTGGTAATGTGGTTTGCTCCTCTTAGTTTTGTATAACTCAATGTTCAGTAGCCTCACAAATCATCTTTGGAAGGAATCGGTGTTCTTTAGCGAGGATTTGTGGTCTATTAATATTTTAGATGGGACACTCCGTTACAAAGTTATGAGATTTTACATACGCACACACGCACGCACGCACTTACATGCATACACGCACGCATGTACACGCATACACACGTCTGAGGTATGTATACAGACATACGGAAATCATGGAAAAATAAGCAAAATTTCCTAGGACCTCGAAACGTCGAGATATGACGAGAACTCGATTTGCAAAAACCGGGGTGAAAACAATAACTTCCCGATTTTTTGAAAATCATTGATTTTTATTTTTTATAGCTGGAAGTTGTAAAACTTTTATCTTATTAGTTGGAGTACAAAACATCTGCGCTGTCTTCTTTGTATGGAATTAATTGCAGATGTCCGGAGCTTCATTGGCCGCTTTATAACATCGGTACAGCTTTTTATTTTCTAGTATCTATAAAAGTAGTTTTAACTCAGACTTGAAATATTAGAAGCAATGTGTTCATGTGACCAATTTTCTTTTCTCTAAGTGATATAACGTTTTACCAGTTAGTACCAAAAAAAAAATCGTTAGAACTTTTGTAAACATTTCAGTCACCTCATTTATTAACCCCTTATTGACAACAATTTACCCCAATAATAACATAGGGGTAGAATCGATAAACGAGGGTGGAGCACCATTTGACACTGATTGGTTTCGCTAGGAACAGTCCCAACATAATTTTGTACTTGAAAACCGGAAATAATTTCATTCGACGTCATAGAAAATGTTTAATGATGGATGAATTGAAACCAAACAAGGAACAAGGAAAGTTTATTTAGAGATTTTTTTCATAGCAAAAGTAAACACACTGAAGGACAAGGTTTATTACAAATTTAAGCCGAAGTAAGTAACATTATACTATATCTACGCTTTCGTTTCAAGGAAATTGAAATTTTAACATTTGAAAAGAGAAACCAATGTTTTCTTCAGAAAGCTAATTTACTTAAAGTTTTTAAGTTATATAATTATTTACGTAGATACATTTATAGCTCGAATACATTGTACTACACAACTTCTACAATGCTACGGATTATGGACATTATTGGAGACTTAATATTTTATAATAATTTATGTATTAAAAAATTCTTATTGTAATTTTTTGTCCATAAGGAGAGTAGATAACGATATTATACGATGTTCTTAATGGCTAGTTTACACAGTGCGAGCTAGCATACGAGTCAGCCTGCCGAGTAGTTGCACTGCAGTAATTCGCACTGTTTGGACGTCACTTACGAGTAACTCGCACGTGCGAGACGGACAGTAGCTCGCATCCGAGTTACTTCAACATTTTTTGTTTTCACTCGCATGCTTACTCGCCAGCAACTCGTACATGACAGCAGCACGGCCGTCGCTCGCATCGTTTAGACGCGTTCGGCAGCTCGCCAGTGCTTTTTTTATAACAAGTTCATTCGACATCGCGGCAACTCGCAAGACTGGACGGCAGCTACTAGTGTCGTGTAGACAGCAAAGGCGAGCCGAACTACTGGCGTACGAGTAGACAAGCTTAGTAGCTGTCTACTGTTTACTCAGCAGCTCGCATCGTCTAAACTAGCCATAAGACTAGGCGTAATATCATACGGCGATTATTATTTATGATTTACTCTGTATCAAAAATAATAATTTTTGAATACTTTTACTTACTACAGTCACACTTTTTAACTATTCTAAGCCAGCACTTAGCTACAACCCCACCTGATGGTTAGTGGTGATGTAGCCTAAGAAAGTGAAGCGCACAGACTTAACAAAAGCCTATATAATAATACATTTCTATATCATAGTGCATATATATATATATATTTAAGATCATAGTGCAGTGCAAATGCAGCATACGGCGGGTATTCGCAAATTTAGTAAATTGAGGGCTTATAAATTTAGACACCGTAATAATAACAAAGTAACGAGACGTGATAGCTTCGCCTCGTTATTTTAAATTACATTGTTATGCATTGGTATACAAACTAAATAACTTACACTTGTATTAAAAAAAGCTGTATTTAGTTAAAATTCATTGACAATAAATTTAATGACCATATACATACGCATGTATACATGTACATTAATTACAAACATTTTGTAAATAATGTTTAATTAATTTTTAAGACCCGCTACAATACCGACATATCACACCTCTATCAATTATATTAAAGCGTAAACATTCTTATATCGTTAATACTAGACTACTACGGTCAATCACTTATAACAACCAATAAAGTAAAAAGTACGTTTCACATGCAGCTACTATTAATGCATCACCTAAAAATCAATTATCTCGTTCCATCTTTCACACACTAATAAGAAAGTTAGTTCGTATTCACTGGATCATTGTTTGAGTACGTTCACTTATTAAGCCAATTAAGTGCAATGTTTATGCAACGCTACAAACGCGCACACAATCGCGTCAGTCCATTGGCTCCGGCGACTCGCAGGAGAAACACCTGCGGCGCTATCCACTGATAATATTCACATCCTCTTCCTCACCCACCTGGAGGATAGCTTTCTGGATCATCCTCTTCAGCTTCTTGCGGGACTCGTCGGAGCGCAGTGTGCGCAATTCTGAAGCTACGAAGTCGCCGAATATCTGTTTATAAGTAAAACTTATTTTATTATTTACTTTCCCTCACATATAATGCATTTGATAAGGTTACAAAATATTTTTCGTTATACCTACAAGCTACTCGCGTACGCGATAGAATCCGTAAATTTAGTTTTATTCAATGTCTAATGAAAAAACTAAATCTTGAAACCAAGCGCGCATGATATATAACATCTTTAAATTTCTTGAAGAGATGCAGAGACCATAATCTCATTCCTACGTGTGTCAAAATATCAACAAAAAAAGACACTCGACGAAGCGCTAAGATCTTAAATCAGGCAAGTAAAAAGTTGGTACGAACGGTGATTCAGCAGTGTAGGGGGTATTTTGTGAATTGTGACCCTCTACATATAATTGATATGTAGTATATTAATGTAGGTTGTATCTTCTACGTTACGGGATGTGGTAATTAAAACTGTGTCCGTTTCCGTAGAGAGCGTTTATTGTACTGAAAATACTTATGAATAAAAAATGTAATTATAGTGAACGTGTCGCGCGCAGGCGGCGATATCAGCATTATTTTCTAAACTGTTGAAATATCATGTACTTGCTCGTACATCTTGCCAATTTTATAAACAAGAAGAAAGTTTAAGGCGATGAACCCCTATTGAGTTTACGGGCAGCCGTTGCGATCACCGCATCCACACTATCGATGTCCGAGACCCCATGCTCCGATGAATGTCCTTGGGTTGGCTGCTCGACATTGTTGGGGTCTGGCTTGTCGCGAAGATTCACGCTGCAGCCTTGACATCTTCTTTTCAGCCGGAATGTCCCCCATGCAATGAAGGCTACAATAATAAATCCGACTACGGTGTACAACACATAGTTGTGTGTGTCATGTGTGAGTGATTGTACACTCAGTGTTTGTTGCTGTTCCTTGACCTTATCAATGTTGTTTTTCAGCTCTTGTAAGGCGTCTTTATGATCTTCAGGTCCAAATGTATGATTAAAGTCTGTCAGTATGTGGTTCTGATATCCTTCACGTACTGATTGGCAAATCTCTCATCCAGAGTACCAAAAAGGGAGTTTGCTAGGTATCCTATTCCATTCACTAGTCCTCTTTTTCTTCGAGACGGTCCATGTTCTGATCGTAAGATATCGTTATAGTGTTGAATTTCGTTAAGTTCGTGTTGAAACTGGGATGAAATTGTAAGATAGGCTGCTTCCTTCTTGCATAATGTGTTCAAATGGTTGACATAGTTTTGTATGTTGTCCAAACTCCGCCAATATGTCGTCATGTTGTAGTATACAACCATTTTCCACTTATCTTGAATAATCTGCACATCAGACACCTTGTCAAAATAAACGACTCTTGAACTGCTAAGCCTTGTTATGTTGATCATTTGTTGCGTAGTAGGTCCAACACACATCGAAAATATAAGTAGTAACGTACAAAAAAGGTTGTTGAAGTGTTTTTTGCCGTTGTTGTTTCTTCGTTTTCTTTGTGTATTTATTGCAGGCTTCGTAGTGTCAACGTCAGAAGATGCAGTTGTATAAGATGACGGATCCAACGGAAGGCGTGACAATTTTGTAATCGGTCGCTTCATATTACTTGTTTTAGTTTTCAGTGTGACGACTCGTACCCGGCCGTCCGCACCTGGGTGAGTCTCCAACACCCGTCCCAGGATCCATTTGGCAGGAGGAATGTTGTCTTCTCTGACGATAACGACGTCCCCAACTTCTAAGTTTTTAGTAGGGAAGTGCCATTTGCTTCGAGTTTGTAGTTTGAAGATAGTCAGTAGACCACCTTCTCCAGAAGTCCTTGTACATTTTCTCCGTAAGTTGCCATCTTGTAGAGAAGGTCATGTCATTACCCTCAGCGGATAGTGGTGATTCTAGAGAAGGCTCGCCGATTAGGAAGTGAGCTGGTGTCAAGCAGTCAAGGTCTTCGATATTCTCTGACAACGCCACCAGGGGGCGAGAGTTGAGACATCCTTCAATCTGCGCCAACAGTGTAGAAAATTCCTCGAACGTAAGTTTTTGATCCCCAAGTACTCGTTTGAGGTGATGTTTCAGGCTTTTTTACTGCAGCTTCGTAGAGTCCACCAGCAGTAGGCCAGGAAGGGGCGTTAAAATGCCATTCAATGCCCCACTCTGACATGTTAGTTATGACGTCATTGTTTATGTAGCATTGTAATGCCTCCTTTCGTTGTTTTTCCAATGCTCTTGCTGCGCCCACGAAGTTGGTGCCGTTGTCGCTGTAGATGTGACGGGGCTTTCCTCGGCGGGCACACATTCGTTTCAAGGCGTTCAGAAAAGCCACTGTGCTGAGATCGGAGACAAGTTCGAGGTGAAGAGCTTTTGTGCACAGACACACAAATACAGCTACGTAGGCCTTCATTGTCTTTATTCCTCTGCCCTTGTTAGCCTTTACCTCCACATGCCCAGTGAAATCTACACCGGTGTGTGTGTGAAAGGCCTTGTTGGTGTGACGCGTGGAGGAGGTAAATCACCCATAAGTTGGTTGTTGTTGATAGTTTTGAAGCGATGACACGTGATGCACCGTATAAGTCGTTTTTTCACTGCTCTCAAACCGCTGATAATCCAATATCTGTTGCGTAGATATGATAGAGTTAGTCTGGCTCCACCATGCAGGGTCCTCTTGTGCGCTTGGTCGATCAGTAACTCCGTTAACCTGTCATTGTAAGGTAAGATAATTGGATGTTTTTGTTCTTGACTTAAGTTGGCATTTTCCAGACGTCCTCCTACACGTAAGATTTCGTGTTTGTCCAGGAATGGATTTAAGTTTAAAATGCTGCTTGTTATTCGCACTTTATGATGTTTATTGAGTTGTGCAATGTCGTCGGCGAAATGATTAGTTTGTATATCCTTGATAATTGCATTATGTGCGTTCTGCAGGTCACTCGTTGCTAAGTACGATGACCGCATGGCATTGTTGACGTCACGTGCATTGTTTATGAACCGAAGTATCCAACTTAGGATTCGAGTTACGCGTGCCATACAGCTGTGTTTGTTTAAAAGTTCTCCGATTAATGGCATCGACCTTTGTGACACGCAAACTTGTTTGACCTTTTTCTCTTCAACAGTTGTGTGGAATTGGTCTTGAAGTGGGAGATCGTTGTCTTTTAGCCAAATAGGTCCCCACCATAAATGATGATTCGCCAGTTGTAGTGGAGTTAGGCCTCTGCTGGCACAATCTGCTGGGTTATATTCAGACTTGACGTGCCTCCAGCATCCCGATGGCATGATGACAGTGATCTGTGTTACGCGATTAGCCACAAATGTAGTCCATCTTGAAGGCCCCCCTTGTAACCAACCCATCACGATCATAGAATCTGTCCAACCATGTATTGTTACAATCTGTGAGTTTATTGACTCTATGACCTTTTTCATAAGTCGAGACAGTAGTAGGGCACCGCATAGTTCAAGCCGTGGTAAAGACGGGGGTTTTCTTAATGGTGCGAGCTTAGTTTTTCCCGCCACCAGCGTGATAATTTGTTGCCCTTCTTCACTAATAGATTTACAGTAGATAACGCAGCCGTAGGCTTTCTCGGAGGCGTCACTGAATCCGTGTAACTCGATGGGTTGTTTAGTGTTACCAATCCAGCGTTGTAAAGCGATGGTATTGATAGTGGGCAATTCTTGTTGAAAGGTTGTCCACTCTTGTTGTATGTCTTCCGGAAGAGGTTCATCCCAATTTGTTGAAGCAAGCCAAGCTTGTTGAAATATGAGTTTTGCCTTCATTGTTACCGGAGACAGCCAACCAAGTGGGTCATATAATTTTGATAGATCAGAGAGCAATGTCCGCTTCGTTGTGACGTCACGTGTGTTACTAAGTGGCGCCTTGAATGTAAACTGATCAGTGTGCGGATTCCAGGTTAAGCCGAGTGTTTTGTTACTCTCTGCGTCCTTGAAGTTAAACATATTCTGGCTTATGAGATGTTCAGGTAAAGTTTGAAGCAATCTGGGGTGGTTACTAGCCCATTTGCGAAGATTGAACCCACCGCCTTTTAACAGGTCCATCAATTGGTTTTGAGCGTCTTGTGCTTCTAACATGTCGTTGCTGCCACCAAGTAGGTCATCCACATACAGCTGGTGAGTAAGGATCTCTGCCGCGAGAGGATAGCGGTGTCCATCGTCCATTACGAGTTGTATTATGGTGCGCATTGCCAAAAATGGTGCAGCTTTGGTACCATATGTTACAGTGCACAGTTGGTATTCTTTGATGAGATCTGTAGCAGAGTCACGCCATACAATTTTTTGCAGGTGTTGATCTTCATCGTGTATCAGTACTTGACGGTAAAACTTCTCAATGTCTGCAGTGTAGACGTATTGAAAGGCTCGCCAACGTAGAATCATAGATTGTAGGTCTTGTTGGAGGTTAGGCCCGCACTCCATGAGATCGTTCAAGCTTTGTCCTGTACTTGTCTTGGCAGAGGCATTAAAGACTACGCGCAATTTTGTAGTTGTTGAGTCCAGCTTTTGTACGCCGTGATGAGGTAAGAAGTAGCTTGGCTTATGGTGTTCAGTGCATGGCTTCATGTGGCCGAGTTGTAGATATTCGTCAATAAACTTCTTGTATGACGTAGAAAATGTTTCCTGTTTGGCCAATCGTTTTTCTAACTGCCGAAATTGTGCGATTGCCTGTGGCTTAGAAGTGCCCAAGGTTTGTTCGTAGTTTATTTTCATTGGAAGTCTGACTGCATATCGTCCGTCTTCTTTTCTTGTTGTTGTGGTTGAATAAATAGATTCACAGTATTCTTCCTCTGATGTTAGATTGTGATTGGTTTCGGTTATCTCCTCCATCTCCCAAAATCGAGATACATCGTCAAGATTAATGAGCACGTGGCAGTTGAAGGTTTTGATATTGCCCAGCAGTACCCAGCCCACTTTTGTCTGTTGAGCCATGGGTGCGTGTGAGGGTCCTCGTAGCATACCACTCATTACTATGTCAGCATACACTCCAGCGTCTAACAGAACGTCCACTGGTCTCGAGATGTTGAAGTCGGGATCCGCCAGTTGTATGTTCTGAATATGTGGCCAGTCTTGTTTTTCGAAGGTGTAATTAGGCAGGTTGCTGAGCATGTTGGCCATTACCATGGCTTCGATTGTAAATGAATGGCCTCCGTACAAAGACTCACAGTCTAACCATACGGTTCCGTTGCTATGATGTGCTGACGTCCCTATGCCTGAGACTGTGGCGTTTCGATTTTGTCTTTGCAGTCCCAGCCGTTGCGCAGCATCTTCAGTTATTAGATTTATCTGTGATCCTTGGTCGAGAAGGCATCGCAATTGAACAGTCGATCCATCAGCTGCCATCACCTTTAATTGAACGGTCGCTAGTAGGACTTCGTTATAATTTCCAGACACGTGGTTTGCCTTTTGCTGTGACGTATGTGGCTTGTTGCTAGGTATAACGTTATTTGAGACCGCGATTTCAACTTTGCGGTAAATATCGTGCAATGTTGTGTGGTGTGCTTCTTTGCACACGCGACATCTTTTGTTGGAGTTGCATTTATTGTCGTTGTGTAAGTACAGGCAATTGCGACAAATATGTAGTTGCGAAATTGACCTCATTTTGTCTTCCGGTGACATGTCTTGAAACGACTTGCAGTAGAGTAAAATATGATTGTTTTTACACAGTGGGCAATTTTTGTCTGTGCTTGTATGATATGCTCGAAGAAAACTACGCCTGTTGGTGTTGTTAAAGTCCTTCTTAAATTGAGCTGTTGCCTCCTTGTTGGTCGAATTGTTTGACTTGTTAGGTGTCTGTCTCTTCTTTTGAACAGGTTCAAGCGCAGTAAACTTGTTTTCCAAGAAGTTTATCAGCTCATCCAAGGAAGGTAGCTCTCTCGGAGCCTTTCTGATCTCCATGTAGGCTGCATACGTGTCGGAGTCCAATTTGCCAGTGAGAATGTGCACCAGGATCGGATCCCAAGTCGTTGTGTCGATGCCCAGATTGTGAATAGCATGTATGGTCTCGACACTTGTGTCATGTAGCTTCTTCAGCTCGTATGCATTCTGTGTTTGCAACGCCGGTTGTCCCATAAGGGTTTGTATATGTTTTGTAAACAAAAGTTATCGGTTGTTGTACCTATGGGTGAGTATCTCCCAACAGGTGTCGTAATTATCAGCTGATACTGTAAGATGCTGTACGATGCGCTCCGCCTCGCCTTTAAGTTTGCCCTTGAGGTGCTGCATCTTTTGCGTTTTTGTCAACATGACATTGTTGTGGATGGCTTCACAGTAGAGGTCCATGAATGTAGGCCACTGGGTATAATTACCAGAAAAAGAAGGAATCTCAATTGTAGGCACTTGCTGATGCTGTTGAGATACTGAGTTAAGCTTACGATTCAAATCCCTTTTTGTAGTTTCGTACAAGGTTTCGTATGCAGAAAACTCTTCTTCGTAGCCTACATCACCGCCAGAAGTCAGGTTATCGATTTGCCAGTGGAGCTCGTCGATCAGTTTCCAGCGAGACTGCAGCGAATTCAGTTTGTCACAAATTTCCCACTTTTCTGTCAACTCTTTGGTGTTGATGTTTTTAATCACCCTAGAGAGCGCCCGGAAATTAGTGCGTTGTTGGCTAATGAACTCATCAGACCTTGATGGTACTCCAGTTTCCGCAGTTTTCACCTCGTAGTTCGTCAGCATGTCACGAATCGCTTCGTACCGCTTCTTTGTGGTGGTGTAGGTATCATTGATGAAATAGTCGTCATCCAAGTCACTGTCTGTTTTTTTTAGAACACCATGATTCATGTTGAACACCTCCCATTGAGCATTCAAAGCATCCAACCTTTTCTGTATGTATGTTCCTGACTTACGTGAATCAGAATCCTTTTTGAAGTTAGCCTCAATTTTAAGGATAGATTCAATGATTGTTCTCTGCTGTTGAAGTAGGTTCTCCATGGTTTAAGAACGATGTTGTAAATAGTTGGTTTCAGATACGTGTGACTGCGACTCTTACCGTAGTATGCACCTCAATCAAGCTGGTGAGACCCGCTTGTGGGAGGCCAGCAACCAAAGTGACACTACAGATAGAATCACGAATTACTCTTTTTTTTTTTTCAAATACACTTTACTGTTGAACTCTTGTAGACGTAATATGCAAGTCTTAGTTCACGTCGAAAGCTCGAAGGACCAAAATGTAGGGGGGTATTTTGTGAATTGTGACCCTCTACATATAATTGATATGTAGTATATTAATGTAGGTTGTATCTTCTACGTTACGGGATGTGGTAATTAAAACTGTGTCCGTTTCCGTAGAGAGCGTTTATTGTACTGAAAATACTTATGAATAAAAAATGTAATTATAGTGAACGTGTGCGCGCGCAGGCGCGATATCAGCATTATTTTCTAAACTGTTGAAATATCATGTACTTGCTCGTACAAGCAGAAACGGTTCGATTTACATTTCATAAACAACACCATAGACAATTTGTCTAGTGAACTAAAGACAGTTTTAACGACATTTGATTTTAATAATTGCATCGAAACTTTAAACAAACGAGAAAAATCGAAATACAATGAATGCAAAAATAAACAAATAGAAAAATATCAAAAATTAACGATCAAATCAAATGCCAACCATCTAAGTCAACGTCAGAACGAAACACAACCGTTGACCACAGACGCAAACAATAAACAACGCACGGTCTATAATCTGTCAAAACATACACTGGACGAACCGACAATAAAGGTATTAGCGAAGGGAATGAACGCGATAGAATCCGTAAATTTAGTTATATTCAAAACTACTCATACATGTTAATATTTGTGCACGAATATGCGAAAACTTTGACTGTGTAATGAAAACCATCTCTCACATACTTACACACACTACTACAAAACTACAAATGAATGAGCAGTGATATTTGCGAACAGATTTCCATATAGGTTCTTTCTTTTTAGTCATCTTCAAGCCGTCATTTATTGCTTAGGTATCTGTTTTTACGAGAATTTATTTCAGGACTTCGAATGGCGTACCTACTTAATTTAGATAAGCTTAGTAGTCTCAAATACATAGAGTAGAACAGGGTTGCCTTTACTTATGATTGATGCCGCCACAGCGTGGAAGATAACGGCAGTGAGCAAGATTTGCGAGGCGATTTGACGTGTTTTCAAAGAGCCGACATAGCAGCGGCATATTTCAAATAATGTTTGTAGTCAAAGCCTATGTTAAATATAAATTGTTTCTTATATTTTAGATTAATTATTGTACCGGTATTAATAACTGAAATGGTGTAAATACGCATCGTTATGTTTTGGAAATAGAAAGGGTGGTTTATAAATAATAATAATAGCTTCAGACTCATCTAGAATACTTACTGCTGAATGACGATAAAGCTTATGAGTCAATACTCGTACCTATATAAAGTTATATAATATGTAAAAGAACCTGGCATTCATCAGCGTTGACGCCGGGTCTTAGCCGTGGCAAGGGCTCCTCAGGCCACATCATCGGATGTGCACTGGGAGGCAAAGGCGGCGGCGCCGAGGCTGCCACGCGTATTGCAGGCTTGGCTCTTCGTGTGGGCGAATTGTTACTCGTGTTATTGTTGAGATGCGCACGTGCTGCAATACCGAACTCCAGCTCCTCGTCGGCTTGGAACTCTGCTAACTGCATACAAACGAATAACATTATATCTAATTTTGAAGACCTTTATAAAATAACAGCCGTGGTAGCTCAGTGGTTAACGCTCGCTGTAAATATAACAGAAGGCGAGTAACCCGGGTTCGATGCCCGCCGGCACCAATGAAATTGTTAATTGCAATTTTAAGTGCTGATTTACCACGTGCTCGGCGGTGAAGGAAAACATCGTGAGGAAAGCTGCATGTCTGAGGAATAAGAAAAAAATATTTCGAAGACATGTGAAGTTCGTCAACACGCATTTGGGCAGCGCGGCGGACACTTCCTTGCCCTAAACCCTCTCAGAAATGAGGGGAGGCCTGAGCCCAGCAGTGGAACGTATATAGGCTGTAACTTTACTTTACTTTATTTTTTTATAAAATATATTTCTATAGAGTGACAAACAAGCACGCGGTCTGAGATGGCAGGTGGCGCGGCGCTGTGGTCGATAGACATTTATATCTCTATATTCTTAAGAATCAATATGCGGATGCATTATGGTTTATGACCCCTGAAAACTAAAAATCGAATAAACACACCATACGAATTGTTGTATTGTAGTAGGGCTTTTTTACTCTATTTGTCACAGTATGTACTCGTACATGTTACGGACCAAGTGATTAATTAGTGCACTATGTATAATGCCCGGGCAATACGAATAATGATAAGTCAACTCGGGCTTTTAGTCTGGTCGAGAAGTGAGTTTTCTGCGAAAAATCGTTTCAATTCTCTAAAAATATGAGCTATGGCTCATTCAATTCGGAATATTATACTGAGAAAGGCGTTTTGTTCCTGAAGAGAAAAATTGTAATAGTTATTAACAATAAACTTAAAAAAAATAGTCTCCACATTTTTGAAAATAACTCAAAAACTATTAGAAGTAACGAAAATTACAAAAAAGACCCTTAAAGAGGAAGATATTTGCAACAAAACACTCCTGACTCCCGAAACTCTGACTCAATTAATTGTGATTTTCATTTAACACTGAAAAATAGATGGTTTCGATAGATAAAATTATTTTTTGTAACACGTAATATTATTCAAAAAATTTAATAAAATTCTGGTATCATCGAGGCACTTCGTTAACTAACTAATTTCTTTCTAATCACTGTTTTTACAAAAGTCGACATTAAAATTTAAATAATTGATCGATAAATTTTTCGATTCTTGCAGCTCTTCTTATATACATACTTAACAAGATCACGTGAACAAAGTTTAATAAACTTCTATATTCTATTTGTTATAATTTTTTAAACCAACAAAAAATGAAATATTCAAGAAATGTTGTTAAACATTTTTTTTACAAATATTATACAGCTGCTTTGGCATCTAACAATGACAATAATTAACGCAATAAAAACATTATAAATAATTTAACTGTTTATTAAATTAACAATTTGTTATAAACAATTTTTAAACCTTGGTTTCTTTTCTGAAAGCAAAAAAAATATCTTACCATTTTATTTAAGGGATATTTTTTTCAGCACTGCAATTTATCACATGTCAACTAGTAGTTAGTCCTATCTATTAACAGTCAAATTTATAAAATCCTAAAAAAAATTGTTTACGTCGTATAGTATATATAACAAAAAATTAACCCAATATTTTTTTATAGTCGAAATTGCTTTGTTACTTCAGTATCTAAAATTTGAGTAATAATGGCAATTCATTGTAAGGGAAAATAAAACTTTTTGTTAGAATACACACGGATAATTGTGCTGAGGACGTGTGCTCCATAGTCGTCACTGGTTCTAACGCGTCTTTTCTGGTACTTCTACATCCTAGGCGTAGTCCCGAGCTCGTGGAAATTAGCTTTCATGTGTCAAAAGTTAATAATGGATTCCATTCTGTCTGTCCACAGTCGCCTTTTGGTTAGCCTTGTTACACCAGACAAAGAAGGCGTAATTAAGAATCGGCCTCACAATGCTGCTGTACAGCCATAGGATCATACTGGGACGAAAACCCGTTGTTCCCAACCATAAAAATACAAGTACCTAAAGCAATTTTAGCTTTATGACATACGTTGCTAAGTTGAGAGCTCTATGTTAGTTTTCGTCGTTTGTTGCGCCCAAATACTTAACTTCAATGGAGAATAATACCTCTTTACCATTCAGTTTTGCTGTGACAAAATTTTTCGACCGCCTCTTTTTGGTAAAGGGTATTATTATAACAGTTTTATCAGTGTTAACTGATAAATTGTTATCCCTACACCAGTTATTTATGTTGTTTAGGGCTCTTTGTATAATTAGTGATAAAATACTTTGACAAAAACCTCCTGCAATGACCGCGAGGTCATGAGCGTAACCCAATGTGTCAATGTCAAAAAAAGGGGGCGACAATACACCTCCTCGTGGGCCTCCTGTAGTTGTAACCTCAACCACCTCAACCGAAGTTTGAAACAGTGCTATTTTGCCTTTCTGTTCATTGTTATTGTTGCATCTACTTCACCCACATGATGGTCGTGGGGTCAACATGCTTATATCAGACCCCCAACCAGAAGTAATGTGGGGCTGTCGAAGGCGCCTTCAAAATCTAGAACGGCAGGAAGAGCTATTTCTTTATCCTTCAGCGCTTTTTCGACCCTGTCAATAACACTGATCAGGGCAGTTTCTGTAGATTTGCCTCTGCGGTATCCTTGCTGGTTGTAATGTATGGGCCTCGTAACTAGAGCTACATCCCTAAATTATATCTTTTTCCAATGACTTAAGAAGAAAGGAAGATAGGCTTATAGGTGTAAAGGGCTTTGGTAAAGCGTAGTCCTTTCTACCAGCCTTAGGTATAAATAGAACTTTGATGATAGTCCATCGTTCTGCAGTATATCCCCAAGCAAAACTTGCACCGAAGATTTTCAACAGATAAGGAAGAAGGATACCCCCCTGTAGTTGGATGGTAATTATTCCATCCTCACCGCTTGTTTTAAATGGTTGAAAGGAACAGGCAACTGCATCAGATTTGACCTTATTATTTTTGCAGTTCTACACCAGTCCTTATTACAGGGCCTTCTTAGGACTCTGAAAGAGTTCGAGGCAAGTCTTCTGTGATCCTGTGAAATAGGTTGAGGAGTTACTAGCAACTCCAATGTTTCTGTATCACTAGTAGTGAAGTTACCATCAAGCTTTTTAAGAAACCCTTTCGATAGATTTTTGTGTAGTTCTTGCATTGCGAGTCAAAGACTCAACTACCTCGCACAGCTTCCTCCACGATGCTCTCTTGGCTTTTCTAATTACTTTATAATATTCGGTTAGGGCTGCACTATAAATATCCCGCTCTTTAGTTTTTTTGGCTCTATTGAATAGTTTCCTGTTTTTTTTTTACTTAAGCTCCTTTTCGACCAGTCAATATGTAATTAATACTGATTTAATCTTCATTATTAATTTATCACACAGGTACTATTATCAATACTTTTATTTGTTTTCATATAAGCTGTATCCTTGATAATAATCGTTTCCTAAGCACTAAACCATTCACGCGAAATTATTGGTTACAAGCTAATAAACACTGCAATATAAACAACCGGTTATGAAAATTTACTACCACAGCAGCCGCCGCCGTAGCATCGCTGATGACTTAAGGACGCGTTTGCAAATCAACCAAAATTAGGGTGTTTTTCGGTAGATTTTGTGACAAAACTAAACCAAATCAAATATAAGTAAAAACTACCATGTATAGATTGGTTCTTCATCTGCAAATGTCTGTAACTCTTTTGTTGAAAATAGTAGTTTTTTATATTGTAAAAACGAACTTTCGTTGCCATTTTCTACAAAATTAACGATACCGGCTTGTGTTTCGGTACATGTTTTGGTCTATTATCAACATATTTAAAAAATTTAAAAAATACTATAAGATGACAGACATATTCAATTAAAAAACCCTGGGTTTATTTTTTAACAAAATGTCACAAATAGTCGTAAAAAAAATAAAAACTGATGCACATTTTTTCACATATTTTGGTAATATGGATGAATCATAATCTATTGCAATAGGGGCTATTTTATTGTTGGTGCCTGCTTTGATTTATTGTACAAAGATTTCGATGAAACCACAGTCCGCGCTCGGCCGCCGTCGTGAGTGGACACTGTATCGTCTGTTTGCAGCGGCTCATTCTGAAAAGATCGCTGTACATACACAAAATATTAGAAAAAAAAAACACAAATTGGAAACATAAGTACTTGACAAGTGATAAAATAATTATTTTTATACTCACAGTTTTTATTTAGCTAAAAATAAGTAGGATATATAAACTTACCTACTACTGCAACTCGTGAACGAGCGGAACTAGGTGTGCCGAGTTTGGACTCGTTTTGTTGGTTATGATGAGACCTTACCTCCGGACTTGATGGCGTGACCTGAAGGTGTACTTTCGTGACCGCTATTTGAACTTCTTGCAGAGTAAAACTAGGGGTGACGAATTTGGGCTCCGTTTTGTTAGTTATGACGAGTCTATACCTCTGGACTTGATGGAGTGACCTGAAGGTGTAAATCGGTGATTGCAACTGGAACTCCTAGACTGGTAGAACTAGGTGTGCCGAATTTGGGTTCGTTTTGTTAGTTACGATGAGACCTTACCACCGGACTTGATAGAGTGACCTGAAGGGGTAATCCAGTAACTACTGCTGGAATTTCTGAACGAGTAGAACTAGGTGTGCCGAATTTGGGCTCCGTTTTGTTAGTTATGACGAGTCCATATCTCCGGACTTGATGGAGTGACCTGAAGGTGTAGTTCAGTGATTACAAGTGGAACTCCTAGACTTGTAGAACTAGGTGTGCCGAGTTTGGGTTCCTTTTGTTAGTTACGATGAGACCTTACCACCGGACTTGATTGAGTGACCTGAAGGTGTAATTAGGTGGTTACAAATGGAACTCCTAGACTAGTAGAACTAGGTGTGACGAGTTTGGTTTCGTTTTGTTAGTTACGATAAGACCTTACCACCGGACTTGATGTTGATGGAGTGAAATTCGGCACACCTGGTTCTACTGGTTCAGAAATTCCAGCAGTAGTTACTGAATTACCCCTTCAGGTCACTCCATCAAGTCTGGTGGTAAGGTCTCATCATAACTAACAAAACGAACCCAAACTCGGCACACCTAGTCCTACAAGTCTAGAAGTTCCACTTGTAATCACCGAACTACACCTTCAGGTCACTCCATCATGTCCGGTGGTAAGGTCTCATCATAACCTACAAAACGAACCCAAACTCGGCACACCTAGTTCCACCAGTCTAGGAGTTCCAGTTGCAATCACCGATTTACACCTTCAGGTCACTCCATCAAGTCCGGAGGTATGGACTCGTCATAACTAACAAAACGGAGCCCAAATTCGGCACACCTAGTTCCACTCGTTCAGAAATTCCAGCAGTAGTTACTGAATTACCCCTTCAGGTCACTCCATCAAGTCTGGTGATAAGGTCTCATCATAACTAACAAAACGAACCCAAACTCGGCACACCTAGTTCTACCAGTCTAAAAGTTCCAGTTGCAATCATCGATTTACACCTTCAGGTCACTCCATCAAGTCCGGAGGTATGGACTCGTCATAACTAACAAAACGGAGCCCAAATTCGGCACACCTAGCTCTACTCGTTCAGAAATTCCAGCAGTAGTTACTGAATTACCCCTTCAGGTCACTCCATCAAGTCTGGTGGTAAGGTCTCATCATAACTAACAAAACGAACCCAAACTCGGCACACCTAGTTCTACCAGTCTAAAAGTTCCAGTTGCAATCATCGATTTACACCTTCAGGTCACTCCATCAAGTCCGGAGGTATGGACTCGTCATAACTAACAAAACGAACCCAAACTCGGCACACCTAGTTCTACTAGTCTAGGAGTTCCACTTGTAATCACCGAATTACACCTTCAGGTCACTCCATCAAGTCCGGTGGTAAGGTCTCATCATAACCAACAAAACGAACCCAAACTCGGCACACCTAGTTCCACTAGTCTAGGAGTTCCTATTGTTGTAATCACCAAATTACACCTTCAGGTCACTCCATCAAGTCCGCAGGTAGGTAAGGTCTTATTATAACTGACAAAACCAGTTCAAAGTCCAGAGCTAACATGTCACTACCAGTAGAGGGCTTCCAGTGCCAAGCAGTCTTTGGAGCAGGTATTCATATTTCGTATCGAAGTATATTTCTGAGGTAGGTATAAGAAATGAAAACAAATTCAATCTTTCAAATTATCAAAATAATTTCATTTGACTACGATTCCCACAGCCAACCGTACGTACACTAGTGTGTGTGTGACTTTTGTCAATGTAGTAGTGCGATTCTATACCTATCCATTTTGTAAACGCGTCCTTAAGTGATACCAGCTAGCGGTAGCGATCCATTTTATGTAATTTACGACAAGCAGAAGAACATATTCAGGTTTCGAATACGTTATATATTCATTAAATATTCGTTTTCACCATCATCATCATTACAGCCCTTTACAAGTCCACTGCTGAACATAGGCCTCCCCCAAGGTATGCCACAAAGCACGGTCCTGAGCCACCTGCATCCATCGACTTCCTGCATGTCTTACCAGGTCGTCACTCCATCTAGTGGGGGGTCGCCCTACACTTCGTCTACCGGTACGAGGCTGCCACTCGAGAACCTTTTTTCCCCAACGGTTGTCGGTTCTTCGAGCTATATGGGTATATTCGTTTTGCAAAAGGACAAACATCCACGGAACACTTATTTCAAGGCCATACAAATACTTATCCCTTGTGGTATTTAGAACATGCAGCGACGCAACTCATTGCCAAGGCAATGCGCCTCGGAGCCGTCAAACAATAAATAAAAATAACTACCACGTTTGCACCCGTATATATGGGTACACAAAAGCACTTGAATAGTTATGAATTAAAAATAAGTCAAAATTAAACGAGCAAGGTATAATATTAATACACACAGCTTAGAATACGCAAGTGGTAAAATTAAAAATTTTGTACAACCGGCTTCAATATAAATAAAATGAGAACGTCATCAATGTAATCGAAGTCAATTAAATACGTATTATTAAGAATAACTCAAAAACTACTGGTTAGATATTGATCAAGTTTATATGGAACCACATGAACAGCTTACAAATAAAAAAGAATCTCCCAAAGCGGTTCACCTAGAAAAAGTTCTGAAGTAACACACATTAAAAAACATACAGTCGTATTAATAACCTCCTCCTTTTTGAAGTCGGTTGAAAATTCACTTGTGTTTTAATTTTAAAATTCGTTGTGTTATTATTGCTATCGCTAACTATAACACGCAGTGTAATGGCGGCCCAAGAGGATCTCACCCTCATTTCATCCGTGGGTGTCGTAAGAGGACTATGGGAAAGGTAACCAAGTTTTTTTACGTGGTAGAGTCACACTGCAGCTATATTATGGTTGTAGCATGAATGGGTCTGCTCGACCGGGGAAGTACCATGCTCTCATAGAATACCATCGTAAAATAGCAGCTTAATGCTGCTGTGTTTTGTATGGCTCGTTTCCAGTAAAAAGGGTCCACCCCTTTTTACTGGAAACGAGGCATTCCATCGTAGTCCTTAGTAGGGATGTTACGGAAGTGGTTATATCGGAGCCGAGTTCGGAAGCAGAGTTTTTAAATTTGATTTTTCGGAATCGGAACCGGAATCGTAGATCAAGGCAAAAGAGTCACGTCTAATAAAATAAAATTACACACACTATTCATGAGAAATATATTCGGTACAAAACTTTATCCACCTTAACCGATAATTCGGTACTATGAACTGCATAAGTCGTCTGAATCAAATACGTTCCACGCAATTGAAGGGAAGATCTTGCAAAGCAATCATATCAGGGAGGTTCCCCGCGCGACAAGTTCAAACTTGTTCGTATGCAGCGCTGATAGCGGCCGCCACCGCTGCTATGCGTCGGCCTCCGATATAACTTCCGATTAAATTTTATCGAAACCGAAATCGAAATCGAAGGTGCAGAATCAATCGGAAGTTCCGAACTTTCGGAATCGGAATCGAACCTCCATAACATCTCTAGTCCTTAGGCACAACGCATCTGTATTTTGATTCTTAATCGAAGATAAATGTAGATGTCTATGGTCCATAGCATCCACTTACCATCAGGTGCACTGTGTGCTCGTTTGTCACCCCATTCTATAAAAAAGCCAGCGCTAATCCACCTGCCAACTTTATTGATGGATTACAGTACCACCACACGGCCTCTTGGTCACCAATAAGTAATAGTAAACAATTATTGATTAAGGCGACCGTGTAATGGCGGTGTAAAATATTCCCAGAAGAGCAGTATTATTTATAGGCCGGTTGGCCATCGCAGTTATTAATTTCATTCAGCTGTTATCAGAAGCTTCCTGCTCCTCACCTTCTGATTCAGTTACCTCTCATGTCTCCTCGACATACACGGGATGAAATGTAGTGGATATTCTTACACAGCCACTAAATGGTTACTTCTCCTTTAACAACGTTGGAATCGGGTTCCTCATCATGACAACTCAAAAAATATAAAAAATAAATGTCCAATCCGCATGAGTCAATCTATTGGGCAGACCCTATGCAATGTTGATAATTGATAAAAGACGGTATGGCTTAAAATTATATGGATAACGTAACTGGTATAACAAAAGTTTATCGCAGTTTGGGAGAGGCCTATGTAAGCACTGGCGGTAATGATGATATTTAATGTCATGAAATGATATTATCATAAATATAATAAATATGTCTATGGATATTATCGTGTATACTTACATGGTAAGTATAAGGATTAAAAAATTTAGTCTTTTTCCTTTCTTACGATTTAGTTTGTAGGTACTTCTAAGTTAGGTAGTACTAATAAGGTGTCTAAAATTAGCCATAAGTAATAAACAAAAACCGATATGTTGTTCTATAAAAATATATGTATTAATTAAATGACATGTGAAATGTTTCTAAATAAATGATGATGACGTCATCCTAACCGATTTCAAATACCGCGACAAGCTCCGAAATTTGTTGAAAGTTATCCATCACCGTAGATGACGGTACAACCAACTGTTTGCGGAAACTTTTTGTGGCCGCGCTATCTCTATAGAAGGAACTTAATCGGGCATAAAGTAACACAGTAATATCGGGGCAGACTTTGGTTTAATGTTGGAGGCAAAGATGTTTTTACCTATAAAACATCTCTCGTTGGAGCCATTAATCAGTTGTTTATGGCCTAACCTAAATTTCACCTGAGATTCGAGTCTGGATTCGCGGCCTAAGAATTAGTTAGGTACCTATCTAGGTATGTTTACTAAACACTACCACTATAGCCGAGTAATTGGATGACCACATAAATTTTGAAATGCTATATACATTTAAAAAAATTACACCTCTACCTACAGGTTTCTACTTTTAATATTATGTAGAAGTCCAAACTACAAGGTTGAGTCATAAAACATTATCTGTTTCCCATTATAATCTTGTTTACATTTAAATTTTAGAAGATATTAACAATCCATATCATGATATGTTAAATACATATTGAGTATTACTCTAAAACTTGCAGATTATTAACATAAAGTCAGTAGATATTGTTTACTTATTTACTTATTATTAATAAAGAAAGAGAACGAAGTTTTAACCATTACCATTATTTTCTTAATATTCTAATCTCTAATACTTTTTTAAAACTATTATATTAGAATAATTGTTTAGAACAAAATATGAAAAAGGAAAAAAATTGCAACAGAAAAGCATACCGCAAGATTGACGGAATCGACGGTGTCGAGAGGGTCGGTGGGGGCGCGGAGGAGAAACGTCAACGCATCGAAGTACTCCCAGCCGCTACTCCCTGCCACCACACTGCCCTCATTCCCCGACCTCCTCTTTATCTTCCTCAGCTCATTGTTAAATTGCGTCCTTAGATTGTGTATTTTTCTACTTATCTCTTCTGCGCTAGTACCGAAAACATTTGCTAAATATTCCATCTTTGCCTGCCGTGCGACTCTGTCCTTATTTAAAGGATGTTTTAGGTCCCATAATTCTTTGCACTCCTTTTCCATAGTATCGATAAGCTTCATAGTGTTCTCAGAATTCCAATTATAACGACAGTCGCGTTTGTACGACGGGGCTTCGTTTTCCAAATCCATTTCAATCTTTGGAAATGACATATTGTCAAATGAATTTGAGTTAGAATCCATTGCGGACCGTAGTTATCGCTCTGCCGCTCTAGCGAGACTGCGGGGAATCGCGGAGAGCGGTGTCGGTCAGACCGTCAGAGCGACAACGTCGCGTTGATCAAAAAGCGGCGTTGCCATTTCGCCATACTTCCATCAATGCAACGCTAACTTCAAGGCGCTAAAAGGACTGGACTGAATATATTAGCGGTAATTAGCGCAGATTGCAACAAACAAAGAAGCATGCATGCTCCTTTTTAGAATCTGCACAAAGCGGGTTACGTGAATGTGGATCCAAACAATTTACGAAAGATATTTGAGCTACTGTTTATTTAATAACTGTATAGTAAGTATGCTTAAGGCATTTACGTTGTATAATCTTCCTATTAACTCACGTGTATACTTGCCAATAGGCAGCACACCAAATTACTAATGAGCCATAATTACCTAAAAAATACAAGTGGTCTCAAAATTATCACTCTATTTGGTCACTATTCTTTGTTCAGTAAAAAGTCGGAAGCATGAGTTTAAAGAGCTTAAAATAAGACAAGACTACAAAAAAATGGGATATTACACTGAACATACAGAGAATTACTTATGGTTCCCATCTTTGAGTATTAAATACTCAAAGGGTTCCCATAAATTATTATTTCTTACAACAACGATAATAAGTGTACGTTATCTAAAGAGTGAACAAAGATTTTCTATTATTTTTTTGGCATTATATACTTAATATAGAGTATCTATAAAAATATTTTTTTAATAGGACAGACAAAAAACACCGTAACCGGGCGGCAGGAAACAAGCTCCAGGACACCGATAGTTTAGGTAATTTCTTTTTACTGTGAAAATAATGGTAATTTTAAAAAAAAACATAAGCCCTGCTTTATAGTTAGTTCAGTTAGTGTGCAAAGTTATATGATCTTATTTAAAGTATTTTATGAATAACAGCGGTTTATTGTTCAGTTTGGAGGTAATCTTGGATTTTTTTCTATCGAGAAAATTTTACGGAATCATATTTTCGTCTAACATAGTACTTAACATTAATCCTCAACTTTACCATATAATTATTTCAAAATTAATGCTGCAATATTTTCGGCATAACGGAGGATCTTGCTAAGCCATTTGAGATTATATTTCCCCTTAATAAATACCGATCCAAATTTCAAAGTTTATATCACAGAAAGTACCTATTTTGTGTCAGTTTGATCTTCTTTGGCTAACCACATGAGTAAAGAGACTTCGAACTTATTCAAAGAATCTTTAACAGGGCCTCGTAATATACTAGGGGCATTCAGTAAGGAAGAATAAATATATTTTACAGGTAAATTTTATTCATAAGTCGATTCCTGCAATTTTATTTATAGGACAGGGCGCAAACGTGCAAGCGGATCACCTGATGGTAAGTGACTACCGCCGCCCATGAACAACTGCAACACCAGGGGATTTGCAGCTGGGTTACCAGCCGGGGACGGTTACCGGTTTTAAAAAGGAGTAGACTCTTTTCTTGAAGGTCCCTTAGTCATAACGGTCCGGAAAAATCTCTGGTGGTAGTCGATTTCACAAGGAAGTTGTGCGGGGAAGAAAACTTCTTTTAAATCGCACAGTGGTGGGCCGCCGGTCGTCCAGATGGTATGGACTGTGTCGCGAATTTTCTCACGATGTGCGATGGTGAAATTGTGCGATTGGAATTAGTCCGAACAATTCCTCAGAGCACTCTTCGTGGTAAAATACGCAAAGAGATGCAACGTAACATCTCTTCGCAGTGCCAGTGAGTCATTCCGATCGCAAAGAGCTCGGTCGTCCACGATTTGAACGAATCTACGATGGAAGCGATCAAATGGAAGCAGCTGGCAATGGAGAGCCCTGGCTCAGTGATGGAAACAGTATTTCTTGGGCGACCGAACCTTTGCCTTGTAAAGTTGCAGGCGGTGTGCCGGGAAGAAATACTGTCCCGCTCTGCTTATCACGCCAAGCTTTTTAGAGACCAATTTGCCTTCTCTTACAAGTGACCACGAAACTGCACGTCACTCGATATGTCGACGCCGAGGATTCCGATAATGGCTGAGGCAACAAGGAGAGTGCTTTGAAGCTGAGGAGATACGACGAAGGGGTTCTTTTTAACGGTAAGCGCGCAAAATTGTATCTATTGGGAATTAATCTGGAATAGATTTAATCGCCCCCAGTCCGAGACTTTGTTCAATAAAGTCTCGACTTCAGACACAAGTTTGTTTCGGTATTATCATGCCGGCATCTCTAACCACCTTGTCAATCTATCAAGTGTGGTTCATTATTATAATTCAAGCAAAGAAAACGATCATGATCTTGGACGATCAGTTCAAAAAAGTGTCTGAAAAAATTCGACCTGGCCTGTTTCTGCGCATCGGTAAGCATTTTGGATACACAAAGCGCAGATATTTTTTGTGTTCATTAGAAATATTATGCATCTATCAAAATACTTGTTTTTTCAGCAATAAAACGTATCAAGAGACGATCTGCTAAAAGACATGTTTTTTTCGTTTTTAACTATTTTGTCGATCACTACCTACTGTGGCTTCCGGTTAAGCACTAAAAAAATATTTCGTGTTTAAATGCCCTTCCCTAAACTAATTTTATTTTTACTACTTCTCTTGTGTCCAGTCAAGACGCGCAATTAATTGCATTAAAATATTGTCATTTTGATACAAATAATTGCAGTGTAAATGGGTCATAACCCCTAATATATCCCGTAAACCGTGATAGGTTTGTTTCGTAGTAAAATATTTTAAGTACAGATACATAGTAACAAACGACATGTAATTATTTTTTTTTTGTAATTTGGCAACACATAACAACATACGGGAAACAAATGGCTTCTATTTTTTTTAAAACAAATGACAATCAGTTTTTAGGGATCTCACAGATGTCTAGACTCAAGGCAGTGACCCACACCCACAGAAATCGTAATTATTACTAGTTCTGTGGTATCAGCCAAAAAAAAGTCAGCTAAGTAAGAAAAGCGCGACGCACCAGCGTATATTTACGCGAACCTTTTCGCGCTACCTTCGAATTTCCCATAACTTGAAAACTATTAGACCTCGACAATTATTATTTTTAACACTACTTATTTTTTTACTCATAGCCCCCGAATGAACATACTATAAATAATTCTTGAGATATCTAGGTCTGAAATGTACCATTTTTAGAACTTACTGACTCACTAAAATCTAGGTCACTTCTACATTATTTAGAAACTTGAAATTGGTACAACCGGTCAAAAAAGTATCGACGAAGTTATTGATGCGGTTAGTTTCAAGTACAATAAACTTTATCGATGTTTAATGAAATAAAAAAACAATGAATCGTAAACGCAATATAAATCCTTGAATATCACAACACGTAAACATTAAGATAAATTAATAAATTCTGTTAATGGAAATATTTAGATAAAAGAATCAAATGATACATTCTTTTTTGAAAAACAAAAATGTGAATAGGGGCGCAAGTTCTGTACAAACGACGTTGGAGGTTTGTCAACTTCGCCCATAAAAGTGTTGAGGACTGAACTGGTTCCAAGCTCAATATAAACCCAAGAAATCTGTATATTTCACTAGAAGTTTTCTTCCGCTTATGAATTCTCTGTGGAATAGATTACCACCGGCGACTTTTCCGGACGAATATGACTTTAGCACCATCAAGCAAAGAGCTTACTACTTTCTAAAAGGTGGGCAACGCAGATGCAATGCCGCTGGTGTTGCAGTTGATCATGGGCGGCGGTAGTCACTTAACATCAGGTGCGCCGCATGCTCGTTTGCTCCCTCTGCTATAAAAAAAACATTTCTATAGATACTGCTCGTATGATTTGAGCAACTGCTTGGCGCCTGTTTGATCTCAACCCTATTTTTACGATCCTCATAAACGTAAGCAACTTTTTAACGACCCTCGTATTTTTAGGGCAACACTAACCAATTATTCTGGGTTAAACTTTGTCAAGTTTATAGCATCTTCACCAGAGAAAACAACCTTTTCCGGTAACGCAACACTTCAGGGATAGCAATGAATCTGCAATGTGTATTAATCGAAGATTTTTTTTATCTTACAGCTAAGAAAATTGAAAATTTTCAAAAGTAGGGAAGTTATTGGTTTCACCCCGATTTTCAAATATCGAGTTTTCATCAGATCTCGAAGTTTTGAGATCCCAGGAAGCGTTCACGTGGAAGTCCATACATATTGTGTGTGTGTGTGTGTGTGTGTGTGTGTGTGTGTGTGTGTGTGTGTGTGTGTGTGTGTGTGTGTGTGTGTGTGTGTGTGTGTGTGTGTGTGTGTGTGTGTGTGTGTGTGTGTGTGTGTGTGTGTGTGTGTGTGTGTGTGTGTGTGTGTGTGTGTGTGTGTGTGTGTGTGTGTGTGTGTGTGTGTGTGTGTGTGTGTGTGTGTGTGTGTGTGTGTGTGTGTGTGTGTGTGTGTGTGTGTGTGTGTGTGTGTGTGTGTGTGTGTGTGTGTGTGTGTGTGTGTGTGTGTGTGTGTGTGTGTGTGTGTGTGTGTGTGTGTGTGTGTGTGTGTGTGTGTGTGTGTGTGTGTGTGTGTGTGTGTGTGTGTGTGTGTGTGTGTGTGTGTGTGTGTGTGTGTGTGTGTGTGTGTGTGTGTGTGTGTGTGTGTGTGTGTGTGTGTGTGTGTGTGTGTGTGTGTGTGTGTGTGTGTGTGTGTGTGTGTGTGTGTGTGTGTGTGTGTGTGTGTGTGTGTGTGTGTGTGTGTGTGTGTGTGTGTGTGTGTGTGTGTGTGTGTGTGTGTGTGTGTGTGTGTGTGTGTGTGTGTGTGTGTGTGTGTGTGTGTGTGTGTGTGTGTGTGTGTGTGTGTGTGTGTGTGTGTGTGTGTGTGTGTGTGTGTGTGTGTGTGTGTGTGTGTGTGTGTGTGTGTGTGTGTGTGTGTGTGTGTGTGTGTGTGTGTGTGTGTGTGTGTGTGTGTGTGTGTGTGTGTGTGTGTGTGTGTGTGTGTGTGTGTGTGTGTGTGTGTGTGTG